AACTCGGGAGTGTTCAGTTCCTGACAAACCCAGAGGTGGTTTATGAGTGAACCTCGCTAAGTAGTTTTCTATCCCAGGCTATATTCAGTAACTGGATAAAATCTTGGATTTGGCTTCTCTGTTTTCAACTGCTACCAGAAACTTTTTTATCTTTATGCTGACAAAAATGGGGAAGCTTCAGATATTAAGGCTGGTGAATTAATGAAATGTTACAAGGAAGTGCATATTAACAGTTTTCCAGAGAATGCCGCAGGTCCACCCCTCGACCTTTCGCTTTTACCATGATCAGTGTGAGTCTTGTAGAAGATTTCGAGATAGCAGGCAGTCCCAGTCTTGTTATTCAATTAGAGTATAGAACAAGAAATTTTATTTGACAGCTGGGAACTCAAATTCACTTTTCACGGAAACCTTTAGTTGATCTCTCAGAAATGATAGTATCAGCCATCATGTCCTTAAACATTTAAAAAATTAATTTAAAGAGCTAAAACATGTAGCATTCTTTCATCCTTTCAAAGTGAATACTTCACAAAGTAGATTTCCATGTTTTTTTAAAGAACTCTTTGCATAATTTGCAAGCACTACAGTGGTAGTGGACGCATTGTCTAGAAGTTCATTAATTTATTTTTTTGCAAAACATTATGAATATTTCAATGTTTGAGTCATTTTTTGGTCTTCTTTTGAACCTTTGGAGGATGAGTCTATTGGTTATTGAAGGTCTGTACTCCAGCTCTGTGTTTGTTTACAGTGCTGATCTGTAAGAGTATGCATTGTGTTGTTCATCTATAATGACTATGAAGATGCAATCTAATGTAGTGGAGTTTAGTAAAACAAGAGCTCTTCTTTCAACACCATCTTTATTGAACAGACCTTTGTGGAAGGAGTTTATGAGTACAGGTTTATTCTGAAAAGTCACATGGATATTTTTACATGCACATTTTTAATTTGGCTGTTTGCATCTACAAACATAATTCAGGGAGTTAGAGTTGATCAGCTAACAGAAGTTAAGGCAAGACACTGTTCAGTAGCTGCTAAGGCTGATTACTCAGTTCCAGACTGGGTGAACAAAAAAAAAAGATGCCATGTAAATGGCATTGGATTTCACATGTGGATTTATAGTCTCTATTAAAAAAATAAATATATTTATTGAACTTTTAATAGGAAAAAATAGTAATTCAGGGTTTTGTTTTGTTTTTTAATACAACTCGTAAATACATTCCAGAATGACAGGACTAAATTAGAAGCCTTTTGGCATGTATCCTACTAATGGAATTAGATATTTATTCTGTTTTATATTGTGATGGTGTTTCTTTGATTTTTAAATGAAATTAAAATCCACTAAGACTCTAATTTTAAGACTTTTGTACTAAGAGCTAGGGGGAGTTCAGTCCATTGACAAGGAAGCAAGTTTGGAGTTGAGAATGAATGGAACTATACTGTCATTTTAAATAAAAGAGAAATTGGTTACTTTTTAATAGAGGACACCAAATACAGCAGTCTTAATTTCCATGCTGCTTTACCGTTCAGTTCAGAAAGGGTTTGTTGATGCTATACAGAAAATGCTATACAGAAAGAAGTCATACTCTTTTGATTGTAGCAACCATTTTTTTTTAAACTGTCATTACCAAGACCTGTACAGCTTCTTCATTTGTACCTATATTTTTGGTTTTTAAAAATTACTTTACTTTACTTTAAAAGTATAAAAGTATTTACTTTTACTTTACTTTAATCATTTGTACCTATATTTTTGGTTTTTAAAAAGTTCCAAGTATTAGATCTTGTAATAAACAAAGATATTTCAGTCCTTCTCAATAAATATTTGTGTACTTATGCATGACCTCAATCATGTGAATAAGAACATGGCCTTGTTTGTTTTCATCCTGACACCTCCTTTTTTCTTTATTTTTTTTTCTTCTCCTTATCTATTAGCATAATCTGAATATGTTGCTTTAATGGATAAGACTGAGCAAAATTATATTTCTTCTTCTCACATATATGAGGTGAAAAAAGTTTGTCCTCTTTGTGATAGTTGTAGCATAATCATAGAATCATAGAATGGTTTGAGTTGGAAGAAACCTTGAAGATCATCTAGTTCCAACCCCTCTATCATTGACAGGCACACTTTCCACTAGACCAGGTTGCTTAAAGCCCTGTCCAACCTGGCCTTGAACACCTCTAGGGATGGGGCATCCAAAACTTCCCTGGACAACCTGTTCCAGTGCCTAACCACCTTCACAGTAAAGAATTTCTTCCTGATGTCTAACCTAAATCTAACCTTTTCCAGCTTAAAACCATTACCCCGCATCCTATCACTATACACCCTTGTAAAAAGTCCCTCCCCAGCTTTCCTGTAGGCCCCCTCAGGTAGTGGAAGGCCACTATAATGTCTCCTCGAAGCCTTCTCTTCTCCAGGCTGAACAGCCCCAACTCATATGTCATGAAACCCATGTTCTCTTGGACAAAAAGGAAATTAATTTCTTTCCTGGTGGTAATGTTCACATGCTTCATATTAAGTCAGTAAGAAATGTGACATGACTTAACATTTTAGAACGTTTACGGCATGAATCTTTCATATTGTGGTTACAAAAGTTTATTTCAGATTCCAGTTTTGAGATGTCCTTTAATATTTTTAAGTTTGGTTGTTTTTTTTTTTCAAAGTTTACCTGTGTATCATAAATAACAAAGACCATTCTGTTTTCTGCAGTACTTTGGAAGCTTGCTTGTAATATTCTGTGTTGAACTGGCCTGTGGTGTTTGGACCTATGAGCAGGAAATAACGGTGAGTCAGAAAAGGAGGCTTTATTTTTTCAACAGAAGAAAACTAGTATTTCCATTAGCTGGCTCTTTTTCTAATTGCTGTAGTGTTTATCATTGTTCACTATTCCAACAGTCTAACTTCATGTGACAGCTTATTTTTTTAAACATAGAATTCTACTGGGTAAGGTTGTCTGTCTGGAAGGATCTCTCTGGGTTTCTCCCCACACTCTCTGTTTTTGAGAGCCAAATCCTGCAGCCCCTGATTTAAGGACTTTATTTTTATTTAATTCTTGCTTAGGCAGATTCTCATTGAAGTTATGGAAGTTCTGAGGATGAAGTATCAACTTCAGACTTAAGATAAGTATTTTGAGAGAGAAAATATGATAAATTGAAGGGATTTTGCCTCAAAAGTTCTTCGTAATTTAAAAAGCCATAGCTGAGTGTAATATGTTGTAAACAGACAGTGTGTTCTCTCACTAGAGCACTTGCTGTCTGCTGAAATCTTTGCACTGCCTCCACAAACTATAAATGCCAGTTTTAGGCAAAACATGTCTTAGCTATAAAACACTCTGCTGTAAACTTGTGAAGAGATTTTATTTCTGTCTCGTTTTTATAACTGCACCAACCTTTAATTTTCAAACTGAAGACTTGTAACTATCACACAAGAAAATGGGTAAGTGTTAAGCAGAAATTAAACTGAAATGTTGTTCTGCTGGATGCTATATCCCTGTGTCTTGTACTCAATCTAGTACATTTTTATGAATAGAAGAACAAATATTTTCTCTGACCTGTCAAGATAGACCCAATATAGTCTTTACAACAGTGTGTAGCACTTACATTGCATTAAAATGGGAGGGAGCCTTCTTGGTATTTGCACGGTACTGGGACCAAAGGAATTTCTGGAAAATTTGAAGTCTGAAGTTACGAGGCAGCACTTTGCATCAGTATTCATTGCTGAACTTATTCCAGAAGAGTGTTCTGACATAACAGCGATTAAGGCTATCTCTTTACTTTCCCTTTACTTTTAAAATGTCATCTTACTTTGATGCATTTTTAAATTGGGAATGCTTCATCCTGTGGGCATAGCTGCCCTCTGTAGGGGTTTTGCCAAGGATAGGAGTTCTAACTAACATCCATTTACCACATAAATCTTGTCAGTTGAAGCTGCCTGAAATACCACAGAGAATGTGGCAGTCAGAAAGAGCACAGGTGTTCTTCAGTGGGTTTTTCATACCTGTGCAAATCACTTCCCTAGAGCATGCTTTATGCTACTGTACTTCATGAAGAAGATTTCCTCTTATACACGTGGAGATGACTTGATATCCTGTTGTTTTCAGCATAGTGTGAAATCACAAGAGCCCCTCGTGGGTTTCAGAGAATCAGTTGGCATTAGTGTAGGTCGGTGGGTGATGTTGTCAGGAATGTCACCAAGGTATAACTGCCTCTGCTGATCCAATTGGGCTCTCCTTTGCATGTGGACAAGTTGTTGTAGGAGTCCTTGTATAAACAATTTTTCTTCCAGCTCATGATACCTCATGTGCAGTCTACCTCATGACTTAATTTATTCCACCCACAAGATTGAAAAGCTAGTGTGGGTTCTCAGCTTACTTGGGCATTGGTCAAGCCTTGATACTCATTAGAAATACAGTAAGTAGATCTCAACAGCAAACTGAGCTTTACAGAACTTATGCTAAAATCAAACCAACATTTCTAGTTTTTGTTTGTCTACACTCTATACAAAAGTGTTGGTGTGTAGTCAAACAAATGCATCTCAAGATTGTGTATTATTGCTCACTACTGTGTGAGCTTAGGAGAAGCTATGTAATAGATATGTTGATATCCTTAGTTTGTCATGTTGGCATTCTTAGAGCAAACACAGAGATTCCAATGTCCCTCCTTAGCTCCAGAATTCCAATTGCGTTCCTTCTGTGGAGTATAGTTTGTTTTGCTTTGCTGTTAATTTCCTTTTCTCACTTTTTGATTATTTCTTTTTCCCCACTTTCCATTGTTTTCATAAAGAAGTTGGACACCATGTGTTACGTTCATAACCTTGGACTGTATTCAACTAAAATAAGATAATAAAAAAACAGCCTAGAAAATAGGAGCTTAATTGCAGCAATATCAAATATTATCCAAGAAAAGCACAGTGCTAACTTCCAGGCGCTGGAAAGAGAAACTCTTTGGGTACAAAACCAAATTATTTTATTATAGTGACCAGTGTAAATGCTTATGGTAGATATATTATGTAATATTGTTTTAAAGTATTTTTAGTACTTTACTGCTAGCATATTTTTCACGTGAACAGTTGTGAGTTCAGTGCCTTATAGCTTAAGAAATAAAAATTCTGTAGTGAAAGAGATGCTAAATTTCTGGAATATGTATTAATTTATTCATGTTTGTTATGCATGAAGCTTTACCAGTGCATCAAAATTGTAGTATAACCTAGCAGTGGTAATGAAATATTATCAAATGTTCCTGTTTGCATCACGGGGGTAGTCAGGTAGTGATTGTCCCTATATTTTTGTAGAGCATCTAGTGTGACAAGACCAGACTCCTTGGGAAGGATTGTAATAATTTTTTTTTTCCTTAAGTTACATTTCATGCTGTTTGCAGAATGCCTTTACTGTTCCCTGCAAATGGGATGGCACAGCTAACTCACAGCCTCTGGACTGACTTGGCTCCCCCACTCTCCCAATGAAAGCTGATATTTCAATTATGATTTCTTTCACCATGACTATTAAGGCTAATGGGAACAAGGCAGAACTCAGCATGAATAGTATGTGTGCTTAGGAGGGCAACTGCAAAGTCTCCAGCTCCTTGTTTTAGTTTGGCATGCTGAAATCTGTGCTGCTGAGAAGGTAGTATCTTATCTTGACCCTTAACTGCATTGTATGCCAGGTGCCCTAGTACTTGCTTCTGTTTCAAACAAATTACTAACTGAGGATCATAGTCTTGACAATGGAGAGCACCAGGTCCTCACTTGTAAGTGGTCAGATTAGAATGGAAAACACTGCAAGAGCCCTTCTTTCAGAAGGAGTGATTCACAAGACCATGAGTGTGTGCAAACAGATGAGTTCACAGGGCTTCATTGTCTGCATGTCCTCGTTACTGTTCTTGAAAAAGATACTGAAATCAAGTACAATCAGGATATTTGTGTGCAGGACTCCTGGCAAAGGCAGAAAGCTACTGAAAGACTCTCAAGGTGGAATTAATCTCAATTAATTTTATATATTTAGAAGTTAGATGTTTAAGTTTGTCTCATTAGATAGTGATGTGAATTTGAGACTTCAAGAGATTCGTCTGCTGCGTTTAAAATATTTGAGATTAATTGCCCCATACCACTGCCTGATTCTTTCTGTTGTCTAAAAAGAGGCCAGAGAGATACCTAAATAGGGGTAGATAAATGCCATCCCTGATGGCTTGAGAGGGGCTCTGTTGAAATTTTATGCCAGTTAAAAAAATCTGGCAATGATATAATCGACCTTTTCCCAACTATCTCTGAATCTCTCAAAAATGCAGCTCCTTTTCCAGTATCCATTAATTCATAAGCAAAGGTTACAAATAACTTTTCCCCTGATATTTTGAAAAACACATGTAAATTTTCAGTCCTGTAAACACTGGAACATGCGTTTTTGTGTTTTATTTTAATATAAAGCTATTTTGGTTATTGCACTGGAAAGATCTCAGAATAGATGGAATTCTGGGTTTGGAGCCACAAGCTAACTGATTTGTTGTGTGAATCGCTTTTCTTTCCTTGTTCCAGGTTCCAGTGCAGTGGTCTGATATGATCACTCTGAAAGCCAGGATGACCAATTATGGCTTACCTAGGTACCAGTGGCTGACCCATGCTTGGAATTTCTTCCAGAGGGAGGTAAGACAACAGTTAATTAATGAATTAAAGCGATACATGCTCAGTAAATGTAATTTATCTACTAAAGGAAAGTATTTGTTTTTGAATGAATGGGTGAATAAATGCAAGTTCATTTCATGTGAAACCTTATGTAGTGATGATACCTTTAAACATCATTGAAACCTGACTCGAGCTTTTGTAGGCCCTGAAGACAATAAAACGCCAAAAAAAATGTTACTAAATTCAGGTAAATTGCTAACACTGACTTCTCCTTTGCCAGTAAGGTTAAGATTCCAACACTTTTCAGAATTATTGTAACTTCAAGAATACGATGTATATAGAATGAAGAACCTGCAGGTAAAATATAATGAAGATTTCTATATGCTGTGTTAATACTAAACTGTGCTCTCCTTCCTACTGGCTCTGTTAGTTTCCTTTCATGGAGCTGTCAAGGTTAAGATATGTCTTTAGCTAGAAATGAGTGGGAAAGGAAATTTCCAAAAAGATTCTAACACCGTCTTTTTGGCTGACGTTTGAGAGAGGGATAAGGGGTTTTATTTCATTTGACTGGGAAGACAGGAAACAAACGAAAAAGCTGCTTTGTATATTCACAGCTTTGCCCTCTAACCTACTAAAATTCAGAACTGTTTTTAAAGAATGAAGTATTATGTTACATAACCATGAAATTGCCCAAGGTAAAACCCATTAACTCCAAATATAACTCACGTGCAGGAAGAGAACTCTTTAAATGCCTGTCATTGTGCTGCCTTTGTTGAAATATGTCATTGTTGCACCAATTTCCTGTTTATTTAAACATTTCCGGGCAGCACTCGTTTAGTCTGTATTTATACTAAGATCTGAAAGAAAGAGTGAGCACTACCTGAGGTTAAACACCCCTCCAATCTCCGTAGTTCCCTTCTCTGGCTACACAAGTGCTCTGTGAAACTGAGTATCTTTCATACGCAGGTGGAGTGTTTGTGTCTGTTCTGTACCATCAAATGGTCTCCATTGCCTATAATGGAGCTGATACTGTGTCTTGGTTTAAATGTATAGGTTGAATAAATTACAAGCTGCCTCTTCTGGTTATTGTAGTGTCATCATAATGGCTGGTTTTAAAATTAGTATTAGTGCCTTAACTCTTCCAGGGGAGAAAAAGTTCCCTTTAGAAATCAGATTTCCTATGTTCCATCTCTGACTAGAGGAATGATTTGGGGAAAGTTTGAAGTGAATTGAGAAGGCTCTTTTACAGCTTCTGGTTAATTGGTAATCTCTCAGTTTTATTCTGTCAAGTCATAACTCAGACAATGGATGTATGAGCCTGGTATGTGATCTGTGTCTGAGTGAGCACCATGCCTGGGCCCTTCTTCAGCCAGCATTACAAGGTTCTTGTTCAGGTGTCCTGGTTTGAGCCAGGATGAAGCCAGTTTTCCCTTTACTGATTTTTTTTTTTTTTTCTTCAGTAAGCTTTCTTTTAACTAGCACCAGAGCATTCCAGCTAAGACTGATAACAGTGGAATGTTTTTCTACCTGCTGGGTATTTAAGGTCACATCTTTACTCTGCTGGGTCAGACACTACGGGGAGATCTATGGCCCCCCCATAGGAGGCTGAATTAGCACAACTGGCCAGAGGTATTCTATTCCATATATATCTACGTAAGCTCAGAGATCACAGAAGACAACTTCCTTGCTGTTTCTTCTTCCCTTCTCTTCCATCCATGGCCAGCATCTGGGGAGGACTCCATCCATCACCATCAATCCCCAGGCTTGAGCTCTCCTGACCCTCATCACTCTGTGCTTTCTCCAGCAGCTCCTGGATTTTTCAGGACTGTTTACAGTTCAGGAGATGCTGTGGGAGTTGCTGGGGGTGGGGGGAGGTGGGAGGCTTTTGCACATATCTGAACACATTTGTATATAATTGTATGTATTTTCTCATATCATTAGTGTTGAATTAAAGCTGTGTAGTTTAGTTTTCAATTCAGCAAAGTCTCTTTTTCTCTCTCTCCTTCCCTACCTGGGTGGGAGGGGATCGAGAGCGTTGTTGTCAAACCTGAGTCAAACGGTGACATTAGGAAAAAGAAAAACCTTGTAAAAATTACAAACTTGTCATTAAAGAAAAAACTTGTAATTACAATTTTGTTCCCAAAGATTCAGCTTTGTTCTCTTTCTTTTATACCTTTTAACATCTGAGAGAGAAATGGGAAGTGTATTTCCTGCCAAACCTCCTTCAGGTCTAATATCAGACTTGTAACTGTGACAAGGAAGGTGGGAAGGATCGACTGAAATCACAAAGAGCTGGGTGGGCAGAGGAGGGGCAAGAAAAGGTGTGAGCATGGGAAAAGTAAGTTTAATGAGGTTGTCTGCTAATTTCAATGGGTAGCCAAAGCTTGAGCTTTCTGTAGAATGTGCTGTGTTGGGATGACTTTGACTGACTAATGAACTGATAGAAACAGAAACATTAAAGCCATGTGGAAAAAGGAGGAACTGAGATTTGTAAGAGGACTGGTGAAGTTAAGGCACAGTGTGTGCCAGGATGGTTTCTGGGCACTGATCTGCTTGATTGTGACTGAGGACTTGATTTTGACTGGCTTTGAAAGGGGTAAAGAGGAGTAATGGCTATGTGTCGAAGGAACCAGGTGATGGACTACATGCAGAATATCCAGATATAAAAACGCAGTGCCTTGTTTCTGCAAGCAAGGCTTTTTTTCAGTCATGTCAAGTCCCCATCCAATGCTGAAGAAAAATCTTATGTAGCTGCTTCAGCTCTTTTTTAATGTGAAGCAGCTAGGAATGTGATAGGCTGGTCATTTGGCTTTAAATCTCAGTGGCTTTGCAGAGGAGAAGACAGGTTGTTAGTCCTGCTGGTTTTTATAGACAATTATGGCTCATCTGCTTTGCAGCCAGACTGTCTACTTTTATGGTTGATTCTGTTGCAGTGTTTATTTTAGTATGATACTTCTTCCTTCCATTTTCCTTCTTCATTTCAGCATTTGTGATTTCTATACCTTTTTGCTTACTTTTAAAATCTTTGTCTGCATTCAGATAAATCTGTGCTTTTTTCTCATCTGGTTTTCAGCATACTTGTAGCCTTGCAGGAACAGTCCTCACTAGTAAGACCTTTGTTGTCTTTTCCTACTGCTTCCTTCAGTCACAGGTATACTTGTTCTTTAGTCCCCCTTTTGACATGAAATTAGCCTGTGTTAGTTCCTTATATTAAAGCTAGCAGAATTACAGGGTAGCACAATTTCTGTGAAGCATCCTTTGAGGGAGCAGTTATGATGTAAAGGGCAGAGCAATGTAATTGACTGTTCATGAGGTGTTCATTGGTCAACACTGTATATTTTTCACCTTGCTTTTACGTCAGAGTACAGCTAAAGAAGATATGTGAAAGCTCTTGTAGGTGATTTTTAGCTCTATGTAAATATTTTGGAAGTTATTAATAGGAATTTATTTTGCTTGTTTGATGACTTACTTTTATGAAGAAGTAGCATCATTATTACTGATGTTGGCTAATCCTTCCTTTGCAGTTTAAATGTTGTGGGGTGGTGTACTTCACAGACTGGCTGGAAATGACAGAGATGGACTGGCCACCTGACTCGTGTTGTGTCACAGAGTTCCCAGGATGCTCTAAGCAGGCACATCATGAAGATCTCAGTGACCTTTATCAGGAGGTAAGAAATAAAATATGGATATTTCAGAGTGCTTTGTGCATTCTTCTTGATCAGGTCATTTTCCAAACTCATCACTTGCACTCCAGCAGGAAGGTTTGTAGAGTAATTGTGTTTATGGAAAGTGTTTATGGTGGTGGGTTGACTCTAGCTGGATGCCAGATGCCCACCAAAGCTGCTCTGTCACTCCCCTCCTCAATTGAACGGCGGAGGGAAAATATAATGAAAGGCTCATGGGTTGAGATAAGAACAGGGAGAGATCACTCAGCAGTTACTGTCACGGGCAAAACAGATTTGACTTGGGGAAATTAGGTGAATTATTGCCAATCACATCAGAACAGGGTAATGAGAAAATAAAAACTAAATCTTAAAACCCCTTCCTTCCCTCTGTCCCACCTTTCTTCCCAGGCTCAACTTCACTCCTGATTTCTCTGCCTCCTCCCTCCCAGCAGCACAGGGGGATAGAGAATGGGAGCTGTGGCCAGTTAATCACATGTTGTCTCTGCTTCTTCCTCCTCAAAGGGAGGACTCCTCACAGTCTTTTCCCCTGCTCCAGTGTGGGGTTCCTCCCATGGAAGACAGTCCTCCATGAACTTCTCCAACACGAGTCCTTCTTGTGGGCTGCAGCTCTTTATGGACAGTTCCAGCTTGGGTCCCTTCCATGGGGTGCAGTCCTTCAGGAACAGACTGCTAGAGCATGGGGGATCACAAGTCCTGCCAGCAAACGTGCATGAGCGCTTCTGTCAATGGGTCCACAGGTCCGGCCAGGAGCCTGCTCCAGCACAGGCTTCCCATGGGGTCACAGTCTCTTTCACGCATCCACCTGTTCCAGTGTGGAGTCCTCCATGGGCTGCAAGTGGGTATCTGCTCCACCATGAACCTCCACGGGCTGCAGGGGGACAGCCTGCCTCAGCATGGTCTTCACCATGGGCTGCAGGGGAATCTCTGCTCCAGTGCCTGGAGCACATTCTGCCCCCACTTCTTCTTTGACCTCAGTGTCCGCAGAATTGTTTCTCTCACATATTCTAACTCCTTTCTCCTGCTGCAATTGTGCAGGCCTTTTTCCTCTTCTTAAATGAGTCATCCCAGAGGAGCTTGACCATTGCTGATGGGCTCGGCCTTGGCGAGTGTCAGGTCTGTCTTGGAGCTGGGTGGCATTGGCTCTGTCAGACATGGGAAAGCTTTTAGCAGCTTCTCAAGCCACCTGTGTAGCTCCCCCACTACCAAAAGCTTGCTGTGCAAGCCCAGTACAATTGTGTTTATTTAAGTTTATTATTTATTAATACTGAAGGGGGAACAAAGGAAGAAAGGAAAGAAGGAAGAAAGGAAAGAAGGAAGAACCCACTCTCCCTTACCTGAAAGTGAGCTAAGTTGGTAGCAATACAGTTAACCTCTAGGGTATTTATTCTATATTGGTTAGGTTGGAGTTGAAACTTGCTCCAAGCAACAAATAAAAAAATTGTTTTGGTGTAAAGTCTCCATCTTGCCAAACTAAGAAATTCTGTTTACCCTATGGTGGTGAGGACTCTAGTGGTATGTACAGTGTAGGATGCTGTTAGAGAATCCTTTGGAAAATGAGAGCTTTGCTGTAAACAGGGCTCATGCAAGGAGGCAGGTATTTCAGTTCCTCCACTGTTCTTAAGGTGAAAATGATGAAAACAAGTAAACATGTTCTCTACTAAAACTGTTTTAACTGTTCTCACAAAAATGTTGTTAAAAGTCACCTTCATCCAGTCCATGTAGTCCAGTAGCAACAAAAAGCATGTCTCAGTCAAGTAGCTAGATCTGAGAAGAGATGCATTCTTCATTTATTTGCTTTACGTGACCTGAGAAATGTGCTTGCAGATGCTGCAGCATGAATATTTTTCTAGTGGACAATGCAACTCTGCATTATCAAAGAGCACCCAAAGAACCATTTTATCTTGTCCTAGTCTCTTACTGCTGTTCAAAACTCTTTCTTAAAAGAATCTAATATGTAGCTTTTGTTCAGGAGCCATAGAGAGAACCTATGAAGTGGGAAAGGTACACTATATAAACAAACAAAGATTAACATGATCTGTTGCATATAAGCCAAAATTATATCATCTATTCTGGACTTTCAAACACCCATTCTAGATCTCCTCTATGAAGAGAGAAGGTAGAGTTGCCAAAAGGCAGGTGCCTTGGGAGCCAATCTGTGCTAAGGAACCTTAAAAACAGTGGCAGCGGCTGTTTTCTTTCCACCAGCTGCTTTGTAGAGCGTCTCCTGCTTTATGGCAGCACTGGTTCAGAAGTGTCAGACTCTAAACGGGAAAGCCATTCAGGCTTTTTCTGGGGCTTGCCAATCTCTTACACATTCTTGAAGAAGAAATAACTGTGACTCACTCTGCAATAATGGTTGTTTTTTCTAATAATGTTGCCAGTATTGATACCAGACAGTCCAACTCTGCCATAGAGAACCCTCAAGGAGTGTTAGGAAACTGCATGACATTCCGGCTTATGTGAAAAGGCAAAAGTATGCAATATTATTTTCACTCAAAAAAATAATAATTTTTGAGCTCAGGAAGCTCACAAAATTTTGAGAAGGTGTACTAGTCACTGGAGTCTCTTGTCAGAACTCATGTCTTCTGCTAGCATTTCATTCCTGCAGCCATATTCCAGGAAAGTGGTTCTCTGCCCTCTCCATATATTCAGGTCCTTTTGATGATACTTTGATAAAATTAATAGCTGAAGGTGATAATGAGGTAGCACATAAGGGCTTTGTTGAGACCCACATGTAAAAGGACAAGCTGGCTTTTTTTAAAAAAAGACTCGGAAGAGCACATTTTTTTTGTTCATTCTCAGCCTAACTCCAGAGCATTTTGGATGGATTCAGCTCTTAGCAAAAATTTATTTTTGGTTGTCTACTGCAGGATCTGTTCCAAAAAAGGATGGGCTGTTTTCTGTTTTACCAGCCACAGAAATACTCTGTTGCTCTTTGAGATAGGTATAATATTCAGCTGGCAAAGCATGGCTTTTTCCATGGTACTTGCCTGTGTATTGTCTCATAGGCTTGGACAATAGACTTGCTTAGATGTTTATTAATACCATGTAAAACCAACTTACACTTGCAAGGCTGATCTATCTGATTTCTGCTTTGGAGAACTGAAGGAAAAAAAGCTTTTTTAGAAAGTTACTCAAAACAAACGTGTGTAGTCCGGTGGTTTAAGAGAGAGTCTGAAGAGATTAGCCTCGCTAGCCTTACATTGGCTTATGTAAATGCTTTGAAAATCCATTCTGGTACTTCAAAAAATTCCTTGTAGTATGTCTGAAAACTGAAGTTTGGTTTGGCTAGGATTGATAAAATAGTTTTGTTGTAGCTGTGCTGTAATTTTCTGCTGGGATCTCAGACCACTCTTACAGTCTAATCTGAAATTCCTCACAATATAGTTTTTTATAGAAAGAAAGGTGGCTTATTCTGCTTCAGAGTATGTTTGGCAGCAATCACATTTACCCTACTGTGTTGTGAAAGCTTTTTTTCAAATGAGTTAGTCCTCTTGGACTGCTTTTACTCGTTGAGCTTCACCTTTGGTGCAGTTCATGGAACAAACTGACTTCAGAAAGAGGTCTTGAGGGAGGTGCATCAGATGATGATGTGGCTTCAGAGTTCCATTGTGGTCTTGAGTACAAGGGAAGGTCTGCGCATCTTGTGATCAGGAACTATAGCCTACACTAAATGATTGGTAGGAATTGATATCTTCAGCATGCATGTTCAATGTTTTTTCTTTTGTTTTCTAGCTAATTTTGTGTATACTCAAAATTAGAGTAATCAACAGATATGTTGAATATGCTGCTGGTTTATCTTTTCTGCTCTGAGAAGTGTCTTATTTAAGGTCTGGTCCTAAACCAGTTGCAGGAAATGAAAAAAATTTGCCTTATTTCCATTTTAAGATTGAAAATATAAAATGGCCTTTGTAATGTATATGAATCAGGCCTTTAATCCATAACACTGTAGGAGTATGAATCTAATTCCTCTGAATGATCACTGCAAAGTTTTATACTATTTTTGAATTGTCAACAAGAGCTCCCTGTTTAGTGACAAACTTTTACTTTTGCTGAGGAAAGTGTATTTATGTAGTCTTTATTTGCAGGCTACCAACTATGAATGTGTCACATAAGCAGAAATAAAATGTGTGAATGTGAGGATAACAGGAGTGACTGAATATTTCTCAATTTTGAAACCGATTTTGAACGTGTATTAGAGCAGAACTGTAAGAACATTAAATGCAGGGAGGCGGTCTGTCTAGATTGGGCATAATTTGTCTCAGTTATGTGGCTGTACTGCAGGAGATGCAGGCATTAATGTTATTGCGCTCTGTTAATGGATCTTTCCTCTAAGCAACAAATGAACTGAATTTGAATACTGCTGTGGTTGAGCATTTTTGATATATGACCAGCATGTACCTTCATCCCTTCAAGTTATCAAAGGTATTATAATGCAACCAGTTTCTCTGTAATTAAAAACAAATTTGGAAAGTAGTATAATCACAACACTGACTTCTAGTTGAAGAAAAAAAGACACCAACATGACTTCTATTCCTCATCAAGTTAAAGTATGGTTTTTGTGACAGTGTTTCTTTTTTTTTTCCCCCTCAAATTTCAGAGAATTCACACCTAATCCTTGTTCTGGTTCTAAACTATGTTAATGTTTAGAAAATGACAGTGGAATGATGAGTGGAGCAAAGACATTGAGATCCTTTGACTTATTCTGGCACAATATTTAGATCCTAAATGAAAATTTGTTGACTGCAGTATTAATTGTGTGTGTGAGGCAAGAATACATTCAGGAATGTAGCATTTGAAGTTGTTTGCTTTGTATATTTTCAGTGTGATTGAAAAGTGTTGTCATGTCCTGCCTTCAGATTCTGTTGCTTTGATCAGTTGCTTTCAAAGTAGTTAGGATATAAACACAAATACGAGATTTTGAAGACAGTGCAAATTTTGATGGGTTCCTGATGTCTTTTTCTGCAACTGATGCTTGTTGGTACTTGGAGCGTTATCCCATCCAGTTTGCTAATCTGACTTTTCCCTTGGTGGCTGTGTTCCTTTGATTTTAGAATAGAGTAAGCGTGGACCGGAGTAGCTAAGAGCCCCCTCTTCAGAGTTTTATCCTTTTTCAGACTAAGCATCAGCTTTCCTGAGCAACAGGCACTGTAGCTTGTATTTGCACTGTGATCTAGTAGTTCCCAGAGCTGGTGTCTCTGTGGATCCTTGCTTTGAGGGCTTGGGAGCTTTCCTAAAGCCTTGTACAGTAATTACTTGGCCACATAAGCACACTTTGGAGCATGCACTGATGGTGTAGAAAGAGATAAATTTTCAATTTCTGAGGAACACCAGCTTGTTTTAACATAGTTTTCAGCAGACTTTTTCCTGGTAAATAGTAATAATTATTTTTCTGTAAATGATTGCAAGGGTGGTGTATGTGTTCATTTTCCTCATACAGCATGTGGATGGTTAGCTCTTTGGAGCAAGGTCTAGCTGCTTGCTTGGGGTTGTGCAGAGCCTGATGAAGGGCAGGTTTTTACAGCTACTGTCACAGCCGTTTGGGACATTACTGTGCTTTAAGTAGCACTAGCCTAGACAAGCTATGGTACAAAACTGGCTCTCGGTATAACACCATCACAATAACATTATGTATAATACCATAGAATCATAGACTCATAGAATGGTAGGGATTGGGGAAGGTTCTACATTCAGATCAGGAATAAAGCCAGTTAATTTTAAATGTACTCTATGGATAGACTGAGTGTAACTAGCATAATTGCATATACTTTTTTGCAGTGAGAAGGTGCTTCTATTCAAGAATAAAAAGCAGGAGTAATGCCCCATATATGTGGTATTCTTGCCACTGAGTACTAAAGAAAGTCTCTGTACTCATTGCATTCTGGAAATTTGTCAGAAGTCCTCTGTTAAAGGTTATTCTGCTTGATTCTGCTTCCTCAGACAATGTCTGGAATGTAATGATTTTTCTACTCCCTGGGGACTTTCTGCGGAACTTAATAAACTGGCATATGATGGGTCCAGATAAAACATTAAAAGAGAAAAGGTGGGAAGAAACACTGATGAGGTTATGCAGGTCTGAAGATTTTTCCTAGAATATTTTAGCTTCAGATTTTGATATTATTTGTACAAAGTCTAAAAGAGTTTAAAATAATTGACAGCCTTGAAGATCTGCAATTTAAGCATAGAAACAAGATTACTAAAGAGGATTTAATGGCAAAACTAGTTGAATTTCTTTAAAATTCAGTGGTAGTCGATAGAAACTCAGATCAACTCTCAGTGATTTCTGAATTGAAGACTAGCACAAATCTCTGGGAGCTTGTTACATGCAGTAAACTCTCAGTGTATTGATAAACTTGAATATGGTAGTAAGGAAGAGATAAAAAAGTATTGGAGGAGGTGTGGGAGAAATTTTGGGGAGCCAGAAATGCCAGCACTAGGTCAGATGAGCTAAACCTTGGGAGCTGCAAATCAAATAATATTGACTAATGTTTTTTAATCTATTTTTGTTTCATAGGGATGTGGTAAAAAAATGTACACTTTCTTGAGGGGGACGAAGCAATTGCAAGTGCTGAGATTTCTAGGAATCTCTATTGGAGTAACTCAGATCCTGGCTATGATCCTCACTATTACCTTGCTGTGGGCTCTCTACTACGACAGAAGGGATCCTGGGGTGGATCAGATCATGGCCATGAAGAGTGGTACCTCACAGCAGCTGTCATGTCATTCCGTGGAGCTACTGAAACCAAGCCTGACAAGAATCTTTGAACACACATCCATGGCAAACAGCTTTAATACACACTTTGAAATGGAAGAGCTATAGGTGATGCAATGAATCTGAGAAGCTGCAAAGGTTTGGTTTTTGTTGTTGTTTTTGTTCTGTTACATGGAGTATGTCAAATATACCAGTCTGTACGCTTCAGAAAACATCTAATGAATGGAAGTGAAGGAGGCCAGCATAGAAAGAAGGATAAGACCGTCAACGTCTTATCCATGGCCTCAACCATGAACAGAGTTGATATTTGGTTGTTGTTTTTTTTTAGAAGGCACTTATTCACTGGGCACAGTCATATTTAACTTATTGTCACAAGCTGAGTGATGTGTTCCAATTAATTCACAGTTATATGGACAGAACCTATAAGGAAGCATCACAGGCAAGGAAGATAAATACTCATCTTCTGAAGAAACAACTGTGCTTTGGGCAAGCCAGATGTAACATCAGTTGAAACTGACTTTTACATTTTTAAAAAGCCATTTGGAAAATGTCTTAATCAGGGATCTGTGTATATATAATTGTGTGGTTTTGTGTGTGCATGGAAATCAGAACTAAAATTCAAGTCAATACTTGAATTTAAAAATTTGCAAAATTTGTAAAAAGGGCGGGATTTTCTTTTTTTCTAACGAAACCTTTCTTAGCTCTTGTTAAAGATGTTATAAAACTTCTATTTTTATCTAACATAACTGTTTAATTTTTAATTTTAAATATATTAAACAGGGATTGAAAACAAAACTATTACTCCAGACAATAGACTTTAATTTTCTGAGTAATTCTGGAGAATTTTCTTTGAAATAGTTTGTTCTCTGGACTTTTTCTTAGTGAAAAGAAAGAAAACCTTAAACATTCTTTCCAAAATGGGAATCAATATGGGAGTAGCACATTTTTATAGATAAATCTTTTCTCCTGTCTGTGATTCCTCTGCAGGTAGAAACAAAAGACTACAAGGAAAATGCTTACAGTTCTGGATGCTATTGCAATAATTGTAAAAGTGCATAAGGAGAAGTTATATTTTGGCTGCTTCTTCATTAAGAGCTCTCCAGTGGCTTAAAAGGCCAACTGGAAACAGCGTTAAAATGTATTTATTGAGGTGGGGAAAGTGCATTTTACTGTATTTTTATGAACAATGTTTATTTCATAGGAGTATTTTTACAGTTGGCCACATTCCTGAAATATATATTTGTTCCACTGAGTACAGTAGTTTGTGGCAAATGGGTTTTAAAAAAATACTACTTTTTAAAAATTCTTTCAGTTGTTTTGGAATTTGTAAAAGAAAATGAAAAAACAAACAAACAAAATGTGTGATTTGGTAGACAATAAAATTACTTTTGTCTTAAATTCCATAATGGCTTTTTTATTTTGAAGTCCTAGAGCATGAATGCTTTGTGTGGGAGTTGGGACAGTCCTCCTGCTAGTGTGAGTTAATTTGATGTATCTTGACCCATTCCACTTACTCTGTCAAGGAGAAACTGTGTTGTAAATTTCTTTTCTTAATTTTCTTTTTAATGCTTCTGAGAAAGCTTTGGAAGCTTGAAAGCTCTTGAAATTAAGCTCTTCAGTTTGTGGGTTGTTTGTTTTTTAGGAGTCTACATGTGGGTGTAATTATTACAAGGGTAGCAATGCCAGCAAGATTACTTTTCTGTTTTTTTACCTCTCCCACAGAGATGCTAATACTTATTTTTGGGAGGTAAGAAAAGGCTAAAAATAGACCTTCCCAAAAGTTTTCCTGAAGTAACTTCCTCAGGAATACTTTCTCATGCACCATTCGGGAAGTCGTGTTGCCCAGCGTTACTGCACACTTCATTCTTCCCCACTGCTCAGCCTGGGCAGTATTTCTGTAGCTCAGGTTGAGGTTCTTGTGTAGATAAAGAGCAAGCGTCTGAGAGGGCCTGGATACAGACCAGCTCTAGACTTCAGAGTGCTATAGAGACCTGTGATACAACACTGGATTTGAGCTATTGCTGGTATTTTTCCCGTTTAAAAAAAAAGAAAAAAGAAAAAAAAGCCAACTAAGCCACAAATTGTGGAATCATTTGATTTGGGATTGCATGGATTGCATGTACACAGCTACATTCAGCTGTGGGTTACACAGCTGTAAGGAGTGTCACTATAAGTAATACAAAAAAGAGCAGGTCCAGTAAATCCTGATGCCTAAAGTTTTACCCAAGGAGTGTGGGTCAAAGCGTCAGCTATTCTGAGTCCTCCCCTGGGAGGCTTCCTGAGGTTACTAGTGAGCGTTGCCTATGTTACCTTCTTGCGTCTGGGGTTAGAGCTCATGAGGAAAAAATACAGCAGGCTGGGCTAAGGACATTCATTGAAGAAGCCCACGGCTGGAATTAAGAGATGCTGACAGCCCAGGTAATTTGCTTTTAGGCTGAGGTGGTGAGGAAGCACTGCCATTCTGTGCAGCTGCGTTAGTTTAGGAGCAGAGGAATTGTTTGGGACAGGGTTCCTGTGGTACAGGACCAACTTCCCAGACCAGTGTTTGTGGAGCTCCACAACAGTGACTGAACATTTGTGGTCAGAGTAACCTCTCTTGGGCTTGGTACACAAATCGTGAGCTAGTCTGTGTTCAATATGAGGGTACTTTCATTAGGGGAAAGTCCCACATGCCAGGAATGATGGAAGTATTCCCTTCCCTAGTAAGGACTGCTGATAAGTATTCTGCAAAATAATCCTTCTATTTTGAGTATCTAAGCATGCTTGCCAAAATAGGGCTTGGCTGTAAATTGGAACACTTAAACTTTCCATCCACTGTGCTCAGGCTATGAGGTGTCTCTGTTTTTTGTAGGGCTTGTTCAAAGAGCCTTAAAATTGATTGACTCAGCTGCTATGAGCTTGTTCTTTTCCTGTAGAGCTTTAGGATATATGTAGGAGAGAAGCTGCTTGGCAAGAAGCGAACATTTAAAGATACTTGCAGCAGTGAAAACTACATCCTTTTATTTCCTTTTCCCCTGTTTTGCAGGAGTACCTGGAGGAGAAGGGGGGGGTGTTCTTTCTTTTCTGCAGCATAAACTGTAATGTACCAAATCTTTCTTGTTGCAACAAGCAACTGTGGAGCTTCTCCTTAATGTTTTTTGCAAATTGCTTAACATCGAGGACAGCAACTATGTTAAAAAATGGGTTTCCCCCTACCCCCATCAGGTGTTCCTGTTCAGCCCAGTGAATCATACCCAGTCCATGACTCTCTGCTTGTGTCAGTGGGGCTGAGTAAGGCAAAATTCACTATTCCTGGTCTTTGAATAAGTTATTGCCTCATCTGCTAGCAGGTTGTATGACAGGGGGTTCCGAATGAAACATAACTACGTTTTCTACTTTTTATAGCAGTTCCTTTTGTAAAAGCAACCAGTAAACATAAGGGAATATGTAAAGGATAAATAGCAAAAAGAGAGGTTGTTGGTCAGAGTGACTATATAGTTAAATATGATGGAGACAGCATTTTTCAAATAGATTTTTAAGTTTTTACCACAAAAAATATTATGTTTAACTCATACGAATTTCTGTTGTTGAAGTGAGATTGTATCTGAAACCTGAGATCAGAATTTTCATGCATCTGCTTGATCTATTCAGCCCTCGCCACCTTCAGTTTCCTGTGCACAGAAAGTATGAAAATGGGTACCTTAAAAGTAGATAAATAGGGAATGCAGGCAGTTAAGAAACTAAGCTGTCTCATGGGAATTAGGTGTATCTTACAGTCTTTGTCAGTCTAAATACGTTGTTTGCTTCAGAGTGCCCTTTTATCTGCATTTTACATATCCTGTCTTCTGATTGCTATTCCAGAACATCTGAAAATCTTCAGATGTTTCCATGGTCAATGGGAAAATAAAGTCCTGATGGGCCCTAGATACAGGAAAGAGCATATGACCTCCTAAACACCCTCCCTGCCCCAAACTTCCATGATCCTGTGATTTCACTAATTTCTCCTACTGCAGACCAGTTTCCCCTCTGAGAGCCACACTTCTCAGAGCAGCTGGGGTTCCATTGTGCTCTCTGCTGCAAAAGCCTCCGTTCAGCTGGGAGCGTTTTTCCACAGTGAGTTTACCCAAAACCTCAAAGTGTAAAGTGTATGCTTTCTGTTTGTCTCCAGTAGCCATTTAATGGGAGGACAGTCATTCTCTTTAAAAATGCTCTGGGGTGGTTCACAGGCAGGCTTTACTTTTACCTCTTTCCCCCCAGGAGCAGGGAGCTCCTGGCAGGGGTAGCTGTCTTGTGTGCCAGTGCTATGGTGTACACAGCTGAGAAATCAGCATCACCTACACTACTGGCTGTCCTTTATAAGTGACACACGAGGTACTGTCACCCCCTGTTATGGTACAAAAGGAGTGTGATCTGATCTGTGCACTAATACTTTATCAAGGCAATTTGATACCAGATCTGAGGAGGCTCTCTGTAGGTTCAGCCAAGCAGTCAGTCTCTAGATTATTGAAAACATAGGAAATACCTTTTTAAAATTGAAGTTCATGTTACTGGAAATAATTTAATGCCCCAATATTCTCTGCTGCTGCAGACTGGGAAGGGGAGGGTGATGACCAGTCATGCAGGAGATGAGCAGTGGGATTGGTGTTGCAGACATTTTGTTGCCCTCAGTTTTAATGTTCCTTCAATCTTAGTAGAAGAAAAAAAAAGTTCCATGAATAAGTTATATCAAAACCAGGTGACCCATTCAAGCATGCAGATGTTTTATTTAAATATTCCTCAAATGTCTATTTATTCAGCATAATGCATGTATTATGCTGCCTTCTGAAATACGATATATGACTGTCAAACAAAATTGTCAAAACAACAGCCTTGGTTTCTTTGTATGATACACAGAAATAATTACAATTCATGTACAGTACAGATGCATTTTACACAGTCATCAACAGTCATTCACTACCAAAACAGCATTTAAGTCACCTAAAACACCAAAAGAATGTGTATTTCCCAAATTCAGTATGAATGAATGATTTTGCATGTGACATATGGAAATAGGAGACAGGACTAGAATTCTGCAAATTCATACTAAATTATTCCTTAGGCTGCATTTTAAAAATGAAAGTACAATTTGCTTTAAGGGTATAACTGTTACTCAAGTGTATTGCTGTAGTGCATTCTTTGTAGTCCATACAAATAGGAGAATAAAGAGACTTTAAAAGACACATGACCTGACAGAGTCAGCAGATTGCCTGGGTTGCATGTAGTCTGTCCCAGAGTGGGTTTAGTAACTGCCTTTTTGCATTATTTACCTGATGTAACTAGTCAAGGAGTACCATGTGGCATAAAGAAGCTGTTGCAGATTGCTAATATCAAGGCAGTGTTTACATCAATAACTGTTTGGCAGAAGCTGGGGACCAAGCCATTTTTTGGTAAGAGTAATCATGGGTAGAAGTTGGATGCAGGTGAAAACTCTGGGTCTGTTCTGCCTCTCTTTTAAAACCTATTAAAACTTTTGTAATGCAGCAGCTTCAGCAGCTGTGCTGCAATTTTCCAATAGGGTAAAAGAGAGGAGAGCAGAGCCAGGCTGCAGAGTTCCTCAGAAGCAGCAGTCCTGTTGGTCAGAGGACAGCCTGTACTCCTGCTCTCTGCTGAGGTTTGAAGGAAATATAGAAGCTGTTTACAATGAGTAAGTTATTCTGATTTGCAGAAAAGTGGGAAGTTAGCTTCCAAATAAGCAAACAGTAAGAAAACAGTGTAATGCATTATATTATAGACTCCTTTTAATTGCAGTTTAATTCTAATATGTGATGTTGTATTTTGGTGTATACACTGTAGTATGATAGTCCATCATCTACTTCTCAGTCTCTATTGACAGGTAGAAAGACCGGTATTTATGTGCAGTACAAAGTGTATCATCAGCAAGTTTCAGTTTTTAGTAGGTGTTTTCTTTTAATGTAATGTTCTTTTCAGGTCAGTAGAATGCTAGCAAATACTGTACTGAAACATACACTACTCAAACTATCAAGTAACTGTGTTAATCATTTATTGTAATGGTATCTACTGCACTGAGCCTTTTAATTTATATGCACATTTTATTTTGCAGACATGCAAATATTTCTGATCCAGTGTTTTTGATGTATATATGTATGTATTGATATGCACATATTCTGTGTATATTTGATGTATATGGTATGTCACGTATATAGGAAGTATTATGATACATCTCCTAATGCACTCTCATGAAGAAAAATGGACACTTTTTATCAGGAAGGTTTCTGCTAACATCAGTGTGTTTTAAAAAAACCTTAACTACTAGAGCCTTCACATTAGCTTTTAGGCCTGCCCATGTGGCTAAATTCCAATTGAAAGAAGTTTTTATAGCTCTGGGACTCAATCCATTATTCTATATGTGTTTTTAGGTAATTAAGTATCTTCACACATTATAAATTCTCAAACAAATTTTAGGATGCAAGTTTACAGATAATTAGAAAAATAATTTAGCCATCTTTTTACTGAGTGTCTTTCGGTGTCTTCCAGCATAGCCAATACGCTGGATGCTGCAGAATGTCAACAAGGAAGGTTTAGAGCTAAGTGTTAGCTGATCCCAAACCCACCTTTGTTGTGATTTCAATAAAATAAGATTGATCCTGTGAGAGTACAGTAGGATCAGAGGTTTCATCAGTAGCCTTGAAATCCCAGATAGTGTGGTAATGTTGGAGTGGGTAACAAACTGTCCTAGAAATAGAGGACAGTGGACAAAAAGAACAATGACTGAATAACACAGTTGTGGTACACGGCTTGGCTGTAAGATTCTAAACGTTTGCCATTAGAAGTTCATAGTGTAGATGAAGTTGTGTAAAATACCTTGAAAAAGAAAAAGAAATCCTGATTCCTGATACAACAGGTGTACAATGACTTATTGCAGTTGTAACAGTACCTAGGAAGCAAGATAAAACAATAGTAAATATTGAACTAACTGAACACCTTTAGTTCACTAACGAGTGTTTGAATAAGAAATACTGCATTTTTCAAAGGGAAGTTATTTGTACAGCTACCATGGAACATTAACGATCAGCTTGTTGTAAGTGCACGGAAATGCCCCTTTCTACAGTAATATTTTATCATGCCTAACCTGAAAAACAACAAAAGTAATCTGAGAACACAGCTCCAAATAATTTCAGCATGCATTATGGTTTTAGTTCTTTCAGTCAGTACAAACATATCTCATATGACCATTTTTTTCTTTCATTTTTTGATAGTTTCTCAACAAGTTTGTCGTTTATTAACAGGAAAA